AAAAAAAAAAAACGCTTGCTTTGAGCAAAAACACTTTGTAAGAATTTTATGGGGTTTTAAGACCTTCCAAGCATGAATGAAGGATTTAAAGCTAAAACAGCTTCCAATAAAGCACTAAATTTCAGACCGTCTAGCAGGCTGAGACGCGAGCGGTCGCGGTGCGCTCATAAGCATTAGTTCACCTACTGGGTGTAGGAAAGATAAAGCTATACTTACCTTCTGAAGATTCTCTTCTTGCAGTATCAAGTCATGTCATCGTCGCTGAGCTGTCGAAAAAAGCTCACTACCACCACGACTGCAGTTCTTCGCTCCAAACCTTGGTGAGCTGATTTCTGAATTTCTAGAATTTACTGCTTAACTGAAGGTAACCATAGAATTGCTAGGGAGAGAAGAAGTCTCAAAAGTAATCAGAGAAAATCATCTTCATTGGAAGAGACCGACGAAATAGAAAGCGCTAATGGAGAAGAAGAAGAGGAATCTGAGAAAGCGAAACCGCCAGCAGCAAAACGACTACCGCTTAGTATAAATGCCGGCATTTTGCTTGTTTTTTGTATGATGGGTGGAGTTACCTACATTGCTGCAGGTGAAGATTCTTCTTCGTTTGGAAATAGTCGCTTCCCAAGCGGGCTACATTTGGCTTATATGGGTAGCCCCACTGGTGTTTATCATTATTCTGCAGTTTAGGTGGTAAAGCGACATTTCTCGAAGCGTTCTTCGTCACTTTCAATCTTGTCGCCAATCTGACGATGAGTGAAATGCCAAGTGATCTGAATCACGTTCTCACACTCATCTACATCTTCGTTTTTGTCACATTTGGTGCGTTCCTATGCAAAACTGGTACGAACTTTAATGGGCACATCAATCAGAGCGGATCTACTGACCCAAAGATAATGGGCACTAGGAAATGGGCATGGGTAGGCAATGAACACCAATGCGCTGGGTGGTCCGCCCGTAGCCAGTAAGCCTGAAGAAATCACAGAAGATAGGGTGAATGGGCTGTTACTAGGGTTCTTCACAAGGTATTGAGGCGAAAGGAGCAGATCGCAATTAGAATGGTTTCGGCGGTTTCTTATTAGTAGGACTCCGAAGAAGGTCACATGTGGTAGGGTAGAAAAGCGGCTAGGATAGGGCGTTAGAAAAGCCCGACAACGCTCGCTGACACCTGATACCTCGAAGGAAAGTTTCAAGCGAACCTATAGAGACTGATTTCATTGCGAAAGTGACACGTTTGTTGTGAATGCAGTCAGCTGGTACACAGTAATAGCTGGGTGATGTCTCTTCCAAGCGGCCGAAATTTCGACCATACACCCCCTTGGTAATAACCTCATCCAAATTGAGGGTTGTCGCGATTTCTGACTTCAGAACAATGATTTTAGGTTATCCTTCCAAAGTTGAAAAGCGTAAGCAATTAAGAGGAATAGCGGAGAAAGGGTGGGAAAATCCGCGGAATTCCCGAAACACAGGGCTTCCCAAAAGGGTAAAGGATAAAGTTTTTGGCATTAATCAATACCGTCTGGGGGATGCGCCCGGCATTCGATCTCCATTCAGAATCTTAGTGGCGTAATGAGTGCGTATGTGACCCATACAATGACTTGCGGTGGCCTATGTATGTCTATGTACAAGTTTGTGCTTTTATCCTCCTAGACGAGTCTGGTACCGATTAACCGTCCCCGGAGGGATGGAAGGATTGGCTGGCCTGAGCGGATATCGATCCGGGATTCGAACGCCTGACCGTGCGTGTGAGATAGTGCGCTGCTTGTCACTACACCACCTCCGCCCTTTACAAGGCTTCTCAAAAGCAGAGAAAACAGGAGTTTGTACGAGACTACCATAACAGGAAAGGTTGTGAACAAAGTTTCAGTTGAGTGCAACGGCGCAAATAGCTGGTCTAAGTACCACAGGAATTGCCTTCCACTGGTCACGACCAGCTATTTGAACCTGGAAGATGTGCGCACTATATAGCCAGCTCTGCGACCCGACAGAGCCTCATAAGGTATAATGAGGTGCCACAAAAAAGTTACAAACACTTTGTTATCGTTATTCATGCCTTCAAAACAGCTCCAATCTTTGTTTTATCTTTTCGCACGCGAACCGTAGTGACGCGCTATTGAAGGTATATGACAAATAGCGAGTGGAACATAGTTTTGATACACTATGGTCAGCTACGTCCTATTAGGGGTGGATAATTACACTGAGCTGTAAATTCCGTACTTTTGAAGCCTTACTAGTTTGCTTAAGCAGATCTCCGCTGCAAATATGCCACTCATCTCCCTTTTTTCCTATCTGATCCCCCTTTTAAGTATGCATGCATTCTCCTCAAAAGTACAACCAATTTATCGCATGTGTCCGTCTTCAGCTGGACACAGATGTTCAGGAGCACTTTTTGATAGCAGCGCTGCAAAATGAGAATACTGCCGTGCTCGTTCTTCAAAGATCAGCATAGGAAGGAAAAGAAGCGATAACACAACAGCCGCCACGATTGAAGGCTTGCACCACCTACCCAAAAGAAGTCCCACTGCTCCGACAAGATGTGGATTTTACCGAGCGGCCACGGAATCGCTGGAAATACCAGAATTCCTCCTCGGGCAGGACTAAGGGATGATTTTCGCTTTCTATTCTACAATTCCAAACTAGCGCAAGGAATACATGCGCTTTAACTCGGACGTTGAAGTCTTTGTCGTCGAGTTGCGCCCCTTTTTGGAGTACGCCCAGCTTTCGACTTCCATTAAAAATTGTAGCTAGGTTATGTAGGCGTATGGGGACTAAACAATGACTTGCGGTGGCCAGTCGATGTACAAGCCGGTGCTTCTATCCTCCCAGACGAGTCTATGACCAATCAACCGACCGCAGAGAGATGGAGGATTTGGATATCGGGCTAGGAATCAATCCTCGGACCATGCTACGCTAAGATAGGGCGCCACTTGCCACTACACCACCCAAATTATAAAACAAAATAAAACAATAGTATAACAACATAATAAAATAATGAAATTATCAAATGATAATAGTGTACTCTCAGGGGTAGCCGTGCTGTCTATGTGTGCTGAGCTAGCCGCACTCGAACTTAAAGACATCTTCCTGAAAATCCATTACTTCGGAAGGAAAATCAAGTTCAAACGCAAGTCAAAGAAGGAGCAGATCGAGGTTGTTCGCAAACGTCAACCGAGGGCAGTTTGACCAATAACGATTTCAGGTGGAAGTGAAGGAGTTGTTGAAAATTATTGAAGAAATTCGACGGCGGTACCCGGACAAGGAACGAATCACATCTTTGGACATATTACGGGTAATTAAAAATTTCTAATTCAGGATAGCCAGTAATATGTACCTTGAAAGCTCCTCTTTTCTGATCGGAACACAGAAACAGAACGTATGGAAAAGCGTAAACGGGTCGAAAACTTAAGCAGAAAATTGATTCCTACACTAATTCGGCCGCGGATCTTTTCCCAAACTAGTGGTCCTCCGTGATGCACCATAACCTCTGGCTACGGAGCGAACCGTCCACTCTCCTAGGCCACAGCCCCCTCTCGATGCGTTGTATATAGGACGGGTTGCAGAAATTTGGAATAAAATAGGGTCATGACGTGAAAGGAAGTATGTTGTCCGTGAATTCCTGCACCCATTCCAATCTACTTCACCGTAAGGTCACTGTAAGAACCGAGTCCTCGACTGAATTTCCATTCCTCTTATGACGGAGGAATCATTCCAGCAATGATGCCCACCATTGCACAGAAGAAATATTTCTCTTTCGCCCTTTTTGCATAGGGAATCTCCCAGGAATGGTACAGTGTTCCTATGGGGCTATTGCTGAATTTGCCGAATCCATGTCAGTTGTTCTTCATTTTTCGACCCCTTTGGTATACTAGTCCTTCACCCCTTCAGAGTTCAATTTACATGGTGGGGACGCATGTACAAGCTTTGAATTTTTGTACGTTGGCTCGTTACCCACAGAGAATAATTAGTATAAATCTGTAGGTCGACGCTTAACACACTCATTTCTTTAAGGTAACTAACTACCCAGTTTCTTCTGACTCACACCTTTTTAAGATAATTTTAGAGAGTCGGGAGCCTATCCTTGGAGAGAATCCAAAGGCCACATAGCGAAAATACGGAAGAGGTTATCAGAACGGTATATGGTAGCAACGGGATTACCAAATCCTTACTTTTCAGTACATGAACGAAGCGAGCGCTGAACGAGCAGTGTTGACGGAGAGACGAGACACGATTGCGTTCCAACCACAAACGATGGAAATGCTCAAATTCGCAGATGAGCAGGATTTAGAAGATCGTAGTGCCAGCCGACTTGAAGAGGCCCCACTCATAGAAAAGCCTCCTCACAAGTAAGCCTACTCTTTTTTCCCAGTAGTCTCTACGTAGTGGCTTCCCCAAACCTCGGCAAATTGCTGCTCGGTTCAGTTTGTGCCATACCCTCTCACGGAGTTGCTACCAAAATTTTACTAACTGGCGATTTATCGCGTATCGCATTCATCAAAGCCTGAAAAGGATCAAGAATAGTTTTTCAACAGTTGTAAAAGTTTCTACTCAAAAAAGGAGTTCACGGTAAGTAAGGACGAGTGGTTCAGCAATGCCAGCTTTATCCACGCTCTCCTATCTGCAACATATTGTCTCCTTTGTAAACTGGAAAAACCTTCCATTTATTTGAGGCTTGAGGTGGGTCCCCTATACGCGACATCTCTGGCCTGGTTTGGAATGATTTTTGCCGGTTCAAAAAACCTTTGACTGGTGGGCTACTACTTCTACTACGTGCCATTTCCTCCATTCTGTCCAGAACGCCTAGTTACGACTGACACCCTTAGTCCATCCTGACACCCGTTCTTGCCCTTGTTTGGGTTCCCATGAAACTGGTTGTTCATGGCGTCCCTAATAATACTAAATGGAGAAGGACTTATCACCATTCCTGTATAATTTACCTTTGCGGAGCTAATTGTGCAAATTTCAGTAAGGCTTATAGCCTAGTTGCTCCCATATCCTTCCACTAGCCGAGTCCAACCGTGCGCCCACTTTTGCTAACTCGTCCCTACTCTGAGAATAAGTTCCTTCTGCAGTTGTAATCAAGATGAAGCATTTGCTAGCATTAGAAAGCGTCGGCTTCATCACTTTCTATGCATACATATTATATCAAGTGGCGGGAGTGAGTGAGATGCTGACAAACCTTCGTCTGACTAAATCGTTAGCGAAGTATTGATGCTACTCTGTTGGATAAACAACACCTCCATGAATCTAGACTATAAGAGATGCTGATTGTTGTCAAATATAAATCGCAAATAGTTATCAATCCACTTCTACACCTGTTGGTGTCTGGGTGTCACTATAAGATGCTTTGAAAGAAAAACGCATCCTATCCTCCGTTGGGGATACCTAAAGGTCCAGTCGGCGATCCTAAACGAATCTGGTACCAATTAAGCGACCCCGGAGCGACGGGAGACTTGTTTGACTTAGGCGGATATTGATCTGGGCTTCGAACCAGCGACCATGCTTGTATGATAGGGCGCCGCTACACCACCTTCACCTTGTCGTCGAATATAAGTAGAATTAAAGGCACCGTTCGCGATGATTCAATGGGCGGGTGTGTCGATGACGTGTCCGCCTCTCATTCGACGCCACGTCTGACTGTCTGACGTGACATCGAATGAGAGGCGGACACGTCATCGACACACCCGCTCATAGAATCATCGCGAACGGTGCCTTTAAGCCCATACATGTGAAGACTGCTTGTTTCTTCTTCCACAGTCTGAAAAAATTTAAGGAACAGTGTAAAAGTTGCCGCGACTTCTCCTCTGGGAACATCTGGGAGTCCAGTCCACGATTAACCTATTGGCAAAGAGTAAAGCTGCTGTTGACAACTGCTTAAATACTATTATTTCCTATTCTGCTTAAATGGAGAGCTTTTCACCTTTCAGGATGGAAACGACTAGAATTTTTTTATCATTCTATCATATTGGATCTTTTAGCACCATTGAGTGCAGTGAGTGTTCAAAAAACAACCCATCTTTTTCCTTCCTTCCCCCTCCTTACCCTACTGGATCCCGCTTCTCTATGAAACATCCTAAAATGCGAGTTTTAATGGGCTTAGTTGCTAAGGAAAACGATGTGACGATACAGCGGCGAAAAGCTACCTGAAAATGGCTTGACCATGGCTACAAAGAGCAGCCTCTTCTACCTCTGATGGACCATTTAGTATCCGCATTCTCAGCTTGGGCGGTAGTGGTGTAGTGGCAAGTGGTCCACTTCACACACAGATAGTTACGGGTTCGAATCCCGGATCGTTTAGGTCAACCAAGCCTTCCATACCTCCGGGGTCGGGTAAATGGTACCAGACTCGTTTGGGAGGTTAGAAGCACTGCCTTGTACGTCGGCTGGCCACCGCAAGTCATTGTGGAGGCGGCATACGTATTCAATACGCTACTCGGTTCTGAATAGAAGTCGAATGCGGGGCGCATCCTTCAGACAGGATTGATTAATGCCCCAAGACTGTGGTTTATCCTTTTTATTCCCTTGCTCAGAGTACGAATTCGCTTGGTCCCTTCTCATTACTGATCCTTATCACTTCTTTGAACGACCTCTTCCGTACACATAGGAGAACTTCGATGTGGGGTTTCTTGAGAGAACGGGGCTGTTGCTGTCTGTCAATTGTTGCACTTCATCTTCTGTCGATCAACTCAAGTCGTTGACTGATTGCTTGGTGTCTGCTTAGCAACAATGGCAAACAGCTGTCCATGTTGCTGTTGACGTCAATCTGGACATATACACATCCATAACGCCTTGCGAAGTTGGACAGCAGTACGCCACTGTTTGATGGATGACAACAGCGTCTGCAAGCCGCAGATCAACTCTCACTTAGTTGTTGTAAAACAACGGAGCATGCTTTGACAGTGACATACGCTTATGTTATGCCGGCTGTCCGGACGGCTTACACAGACTGGGAATAACAGAGGCACAGAAAGAAATTCCTTGTTGTCGCCATTAATGACATACTTTCCTTCCGACCTGGCTTATAGAAGATGAGGTGTTTTACAAACAAGTGAAAGGTGGATAGCAAGTAACGTCCGGGCGCCGCTGTCACACTCATACTCCAGGGATCAAACCTCATCCTGTACCCCCGAGAACCCAATACATTTACTTGAGATGCTCGAAACTTTCGACTCCGCTTACCACTTACGACCCCGACTTTATAAATTTAAACGGGATCTTCTTGAATTGTGCCCTCAGGGGCAGAAGTGGCTAGAAATTTGATCCGGGATGTAGCTTAACTCGCTGAACACGAATTTCGCACCTGTTCCACTCGGAAACTTTTGACGCCCTGGGGCTGTGGTGACCGATTTCGCGAAAAAATCTATTCAAAAACTTGAAAGGTATGTTGTGCTTGCTGAATAATGTCAAATTTTCTTTCGCTTTCGAAAGGCCCGGCGGCTTCTAACCAATCTGCGAGAGTAAGCCATGAATCTGACATACACAGGAGAACTCTTTTAAAAAGATGTCGAATTGTTGGAACTGAAAATGGTCTTCTTCTAAGGGGTCGAGCTTGATAATCACCAATTAATCACCATCTGAGCGCCTCCTATACCATGACCTATGACCGTTCCTCCCTCATTCACCCCGTCGTGCCAATAACGAGGTTGTGAATGGAGCGCATTTGCTGTGGAGGCTACCGCAACCTGCATCAATAAGAAACTAGAAATTTCACTGTTAGCCTTTTCGAAAAAATCGTTTGTCCTCAAGAACAACATCACGATATTACTGAATCGATAGAAGCTAATTCGCAGAGAAATTTAATATTTGTAGGATGTAGTGTAATATTTTACTGTAATGATCGCATATTTTTTAGGCCATCGAAACTGATCGACGTGTTACAATTCTCAGAAGACATGGATCTAGAGCACTGTTTCTATAACGAGCTTCGGAAACATCACAGCCGTAACAATAGCCGACGACACCAAAAACGATCAGACGTACTTGCCCCTGTACAGTCTTATCGCTCTCATAGCACTATTACATAAAGAGTATAAACAGTAGAGTATAAACTGTTACTCGGTGACTAAATACGAAGCTTTCTCATCCTCTGTTATATCGGGTAAGCTGAGGTACATTTCGGGACAACGAGTCAGCAACAGCTGAGAATCGGATCGCTCCGGCTCAATGACCCACTCCAATGAACCCTAGTGTTCTTTTATCAGTGATCTAATGCATGAAAGGACGGCTCCTTCACGACTTCAATTCACCTTAAAACCTTCTAGGATTCTTTTTTCATGAGCTTGGTTGAAACTGCATAAACTTCTCCCCTTCTCAGTTTCTACGGCTTCGAAGGGTAGGTTTTTACGAATACGCGACCATACAATTGCGATGCGACAGTCAACTGAGGATTAGATGATCCAAGAACTTGCCGAAAAGTCTACGTTCTCCTAAATTGCCGCAAATGCTGTGCCTAGTACGATTTCTACCTCCATTTCTATCAGGGCCTTGCAGTGAGAGGACCTCCGGTGGAAGAGGTTCGCGAAACTTGACAACGTAGAAGTTGAATCTGATAAACTTGCCAGCCCATTCCACCCCTCTCCCACAATTTCTACTGATATCCATACAAATGTGTCACGATTCCTTCGCGTGGATCCCTTTGAGTTCTTTTCAGTAATGAAAAAAAGCAGTCTTTTTCTTTCAGCATCCCACAGTGAGGTCTCAATAGCGCCCTGCAAAGTATATTTAATCCTGTCATGACGCAACAGATATGCCCCATCGATCACCTGCGCCCGATAGCTATTTGTACATTACACACTATAAACGCTAAGTGGTGCTGTCTCAATGAGGGATAGCCTGCTGTTCTATCCACTTTCTGGTATTTTATAACAGAGAAGTAGTGGCTAAATCTATAGAATAGGCAAAGATTCAAAAAACGGTGCTGACTCCGCCACCCGTACTGATCACGGCTTGGAAACCTAATGAACCTTATTGGCGGTAAGTCAATTACAACAGACGTAAGAAGCGAACCGCATATCACAATGGGTAGGCTTTACAATTGGGTCAACTTTTTAATCATTTCTTCCATGTAAGACAACTGATCATAACGAACCCTTCTACCACACCTTTTACCATTACCTTTCCTTTGCCCTCATGGGTAGGTGTATGACAAAGAAATATGATACCAATTAAAAGTAGATATTAGAGGTTGAAATGATCGAAATCATAGCAATCCAAAAGGGTAAACACCATGCTTATTAAATTTCCTCACCTTTAGGGACGGTGCTTGTCAATTACAGCCTTCAATGTATGAGTCGACCATGCAACCATTCTGCAAGACCATTTTTTGTTTTTGAACGATTCGAGAAGTTAGAATGACCTTTTTTCTCGATAAAAGTGAGGACAGTCAGCCAAACTCCACATCAGATTCACTGCTACTATTGTGGAACATTTTTTTAACCGTAAAGCAACCTACTTTGAAAGAAAACAAATGATAGGATTAGAAAAAGTGCACAGCTAAGTTTATCTCATGACCATCACAGCGAGACATTTTGAAAACAGTTGGTTTCGATCAAAACGGCGCAATGGAACATCAGGTGTCGTGATTGCTGAACGCATCGCAGCCGCGACGCAACGAGCACCACGCCCACGGTGATGTTGCATTCCCGTCGAAATGAACGAAAACCACTAACAGCTTTCTGCGCCATCACATTGACCACAGTAATTTAAAGAGAATATTGCCTTACACATAGAAATATGTGCTGGCTAGAGAACAATTACTCGAATGAGAAAATGACGGTGTCAGTGACTCCTTTTTTGGACGTAAGCTTCAAAGGAATGAGATACAACGGAAGTGAGAATGCGGCACAGGGATAAATCGATATATCATCATCATAAGCACGTGGAGTGCGCCCGCAACACGTATCGATTGAACCAATCGGTAAAACCATCATTAAAATACGACTTCAAGAAAATAAAAAAAAAACAAAAAAATGTGATTTGTCAATCAATGAAGAGGACAGAAACGTAGAAATTAAAGAGAAATACTATACTGAAATGCGGAATGCTACAAATAGGGCAATTAATAGGTTGATGAGGGTCGAAAACATGAAAAAAAAAAGACCAAAACAATTAATATACTCACCTCAATGAAAAGAAACCATTAAATTAAATTATAACCATTATAATCATAATAAAGGATGAAACATGGAAAAGAAAATCATCTGATGAAGAAAAAATGGATTGGGCATATGCATTCAATTCCAATGCTACAGGAAGTACTCGCACCAACAATCAACAACGAGGCTCCAGCATGAATGACAAGAATTGATAAGAAGTCCTTCCGATGATGACATCAAGGGCTTTGAATTCACTACGGCCTCATCAAGCCGTTACCTCTAAAGACATCTTCATGGCCGTATCTTTGTTCACGTGTATGTGGTCACTTCATACACAGTCGCCTTCTTCTCGCCTGATCCTGTTACAATCAGGGAGTCGTCACTGGCTATATCACAGGATAACACCGACGACGATTCCTTCGCTTGTAACAACGATGCTCCGTATGGCGTTCTCCATGCATTCAACACGTTGTCCTACATAATAAACAAATTTCAACTCAAGATAGAACTTGAATGGACGAATAAAAAGAAAAAAACTCGATATTTTTACTTGATGGTCAATTCAGACCCTTTCATATTCATATTTCACAACCATTCCTTGAAGGACTTGAAAACATGGCAGAAATCAACAAACGCGTCTCAAAATCTCGGCACACGTAGTAGTCATTCGCCTAGGTGTCAAGAAGAACATACCTTCCCCGTCGAGACGAACCATCGACCAGAGTGAGCAAATTTTAGCGACAGGACGCATGATTCATGTTGATGTAATTGATATTTCTCTGTGCGAGTTGTGTTCAACACCTATAATTACAGGCCAGTAATAGACTCAAAAGGAAATGTAACCAAAGAACAAGAAAGGAGAATGAATGCAACTGAATAACGGCCAAAAAAGATTACAATTACATACATACCTCCACATTGTTGTTCTCCATGCCTACCGCAACCCAATCTTCTGTTGGACAACATCCCAGGCTGAAGATCTGACTCGGGAAGTCGAATTGCTGCAAAATTCAAAATGTAGCATGGCTCAGTGCCTCACTGCCAGAGGGAACAGTAAATTCACAACACAACGGCAATCAACAAAAAATTCTGTTGTGAAAAAATTATTTCTTTTAATTTAAACATTAAAGTGTAAAAGAAGCTTCCTGACAAACAAAGCACTGTAGTTCCCCGAAAAATTTCCCCTTCTAGAGCCAATGACACAAAGTCTTACACTCAATTGCCGTCGTTCCCGTAGATCCCACGTGCGTACGGTGTTATCGAGACCACCAGTCCATAATTTGCTACCGTCTGACGAAAGATCAATGCACGAAGCCCCTTCTTGATGTCCCGGGAGTGAAGTGACCTGAAACGATAAAATATGATGTTACCCTGCTATGTAAACCTAATCATCCAGGAACGATACCGCTTAACAAATCTAGCCTTACCTTGGTTTTGGATTCAACATCCCATACCACAATATTTCCATCAGCACAACATGCAAATAGAAGTTTGTGATCTTGCGATAACGCCAGAGCATAACATGCTTGTGATTCACTGTCCAATTCTGTACGAATCGTTCCCGTCTGAAATAACATGCGTCAATATGGATGGTCCCGTTCGATATCAAACAAAATCCAGTTAATAGTCGCGACTTCTGGGAATTAATGGGAAAGAGCTGGCCTTGAAATTGGCTCGCTGATGGGCCTCTCACATTAATCATTACTTGTATCTCGCAGAGTTTTCTTCTCGGTCGTGCGCATGCGTGCGCAACGTGGAGGCGTACGGCAACTCATTATAAATAACCCTTATGCTCATGTGCGAAACAAGATTAGTGGAGAGGATGAACTAAGTTGTAGTGAACCATTCTTCGGACCAGTCAACATCAAGCATGCCATACATATTCTACCCAAGTGAACACCAGAAAAAGACCTATGCGAAAGGGACTCGTGAAAAATTTAACAACGAACTCTGACATTGGAAAAATGAAACAACAGAAGCGAGGGAAATTTGGAAACGCAGCGAATAAACTAAAATACCTGCAGATCCCATATCGTGATTATGTTTGCTTCACCACCGACAATTAGACTTGAACTGTCAGCAGTGAGTTTGCATGACCGAATATAGTTACCCTGTAGACATTCTAACGTTGATACAGGTGTTCGTAAAGTTTCTGGAGTACGGGCAATATCCCATATCTGAAAATAATAATGGAATACACTGGCAGAGACAAAAAACTTATAATCCATCAATATCGAGAACAAAATCTTGTCAGACAATTGACCACTACAATTTTTTCAATTGATCGGGTGCAATATACAGAAGGTAGCGCAAAGTTAGCCAATTTCTTCACTACCTTTGAAATTAGCACATATAGGAACATATTTTGTATTACATCAATGTTTTACTCTTGAGAAAGAGATCGAAAGAAAGATTATTATAAACCCTCTCATAATCGAAAAACAAAGATGACATTAGATAGCTTCTGAGCTATAAACATGTGCTTTGTTAGAATCCTATTAATTCATATAGAAAGAAATGGCATTTTGGCTTTCATCAATTTCGTAAACAAACTTGATCCAACACAGCTGAAGTGCCATGTAATAAACCAACTAATGGATTATGTCATGAGCAAATACGACCAAAGGACGTGAAGTATATATGTTCATAAATAGATTTTCCGCTCTATGGAGCTAAGCCACGCAATCGTTAGTAATTCGCTGATGAAAATATGACTTCCCAAACATCGTGCATGATTTGTTATCCTGTATGACGAGCAAAACAGGGATCTATGACAAATGCGAAGCTAAATAAAGCAGATCCCTACTCGGAACAACAATAGAACAGTCATCTAAAAAAAAGAAATCTAAAAAATGAGTTAAAATCGCGACAACTTCCAAGTTGAAAATTCAAACACAATTCCAGTCAAATCTAGGTAAAGTGATGTGTTTTGGCGATGTGTAAAGAGGGCAGAACTGGGCACAAATGGATCAAAGTGATGCAAATATGAAACAAGATTCCAGGCAAGAAAGATCTATCAACCTTGAATGACTCAAGCTGTTAAGATTCTGACCGCATGTAATTAATCCCATTAACAGGAAACAGTTCAAATAAGGTTTTCAATGCAACGACAGATTCTGACGTACGTATAACTTCCTCTTTAATTCCATATAATCATAGTCTTATAAGTTTGCAGTAACAAGTGATTATATAAGTGTAACTTACTTTAACACAACCTTTTCCTCCAGTATATACACTTCGGTTGTCTTTCGCAATCGTAACTGCACACACAACCTAAAATGGTAAAAAGGAAATTTCAGCAATACAAAGTAGTAATAATTTAGAAAAAAAAAACAGACAATGCCCACCTATTGAAGATTTGCATCTAAACTGGTGCTCATATAGAAACATGTGTTCATATAGTCAAGCACACAATTTGAAAGCAATCCCTGTTCAGGCTACTCTTATTCAGCTCACCTACGTGGTAAAAACCCTTAACTACTTCAACATTTGTCTGATGCACAATATCATCTCATCTCCTAAACAGAATGGCTCAATTGTACCGAAAAGCTTTACTCGTCCTGATTATTGATGGTCGTATGTGGAAAGCAAATGATTTTTCATCGAGAAAGCTCCTCACTCAAATGGTACAAAAATCGAATCTTTCGTCAACCTTCTCAACGTTTTCACAGAAACAATATCTACCACAAAGCGACGTACCCACCGGAATCGATCAATTCACTTGGAAAATTTTATAAACGCAGCCTTCTAGGGAATTCCAGTCCATAAAGCTGCTTTAATATTATATTATTTGAGTGTGGCATGCTGTGGCTGGTGTTTTGAGAATTGCTGTTTTTTTTTTCTACGTTTTGCTTCGCTGTGTTTGAACTCACTAACACATTTGCCTGATTGTTGGAGTGCACCTTGAGTGTAGTTAATAAATAAATAAATAATATAAAGCGCAACAAAAAATAGCATTCGATTCATACCATCTTGAGTGTAGTTAATAAATAAATAAATAATATAAAGCGCAACAAAAAATAGCATTCGATTCATACCATTGACATTTCCCCAGAGTTCGCTTAACTTCATGGCCCGCCAAGTTGGCAAGGACAACTCATTGGTACTACCAGTTTGCACCCAGAGAAGGTCTATATCATTGAACTTTTAAACGTTTTATGGTTTCTTTGCTCAAAGATTACTTCACCCTCACCCTCACGCAAGTTCGTACTGTTGTTTCATCTTTCACGATGCTCTTGGTGAATTCACCAACAGAAATAATTTGATACTCGAATGGTTCAGTGCTTATCCGAACATTGTCGATAAACAAAACGATATATTAGTCTCTAAATTGTTTTAAAGCCAAACAATCACAATTATTTTTATCTCCCTCACCAGATGCCTCTGCTTTTTCGGAACTTAATATATAACTTTACTCAAAATCAATTTCCATTTGAGAATCAAAATAGGGAGAATGTTTTTGAACAAATTAGCCCTTCCCCAGACCCTATAATTTAATCCTTATTGCACTCAGTAACGATAGCAAAAACAATCCTCTTTAGGATCGACTTCTAATCCCTTGACCTTAGGTGTTAGCACGTTTAACACAGCTCAGATTACCCGTTAATAACTTTTATCATGCCAATGACAATGACCAATACAGCCAGAAAATCGGTGAAAACAGGATCATTGATGACGGTTTATGACATCGCTCGGACAGACAGCAGTCCAAACCGAAGCGGTAAAGGCGATTTAGATCAGTACCAACACGTACGAATTGATTTGAAGAGTTCTATTCCAAATTTGTGTCTAGTATAACTCCGAAAGTCTCCTGAAGACTACATTCTTCTTTACGCCACTAGCCCTCACTCAGCGTTGTGATGAATCCAATCAAATCGAAAAGTGAATATTGAAAAAAGGAACGCTTTTGAATTTACCTCTCCATGCGGTAACTCGAACTTTCGCGAGACACTCTTCGGAATTCCTGGTGCATTAAACGCATCACTTGGAAACACTGTCGGCTGTAAAACACCACCGTCAACGGTGCGGAAGGAATAGGCAGGTTTCCCGTTAAGGAGACCACCAGGACCACCAATCCCCATTCCAGCAGCCATCCGGGCCTGGAATAATAGTCTTATTAAGCCGCAAGCCTAATGATAATCATCAGTCGATTAAAAGACATCAGAGAAAGGGGAAAGCGAAATAACCATAATAGGCTTTGCATTACTCACCTGCGCATGTTGGTCAAATATCGGAGGCAAGCCGCCTCGACTAAATGCTGCAGCAAGAGGATTCATATTCATGCCTAAGTTACCTGGAATAGGTCCATAATAAACGAGAATGATTGGTACTGTATCAATATGTTTTAGTCACAAAGCACACTCACCGAATACTCCACCCGGCAAGCCCATTTGCTCCAAGGGATTTCGTGGTTTTGGACCGGGAGTACTTGCACCGCTAGAGGCTACACTGTTAGTTGAATCTCGACCATCCGCTTTAGGGGCCTATTAAGGAAAACGATTAAATAGGAATGGTCGCCTGCATAGTTTCTAAATCCATAAAGAAAACCTACTTTGAGGGATGACGGGGGCGCACTACTGGTTCCATTTGAATGTCCTGCACCACCTGCATCGTCATTCTGTACATCAATTTCTAACTCGCCGTCTCCATCGGCGTCTTCATCGACCTTCATCCGTTTTGAAGTCGATCCATTCGGTGAAATAGACCGAGGACGGGAACTGAAAATGGACTCATAGTCTTCCACATAGTAACAGCCAATAAATATTCCCATTGAACGGAGTTTTTGCTGCAAATGTTCCTTTCTGAACGTCCTAACCTCTCTGACTCTCGCAAACATTGCATCAAGTTATTTTTGGGCTCTTATAAAGTTAATGGGATTGACAGTGACAAATATACAAAAAGATAATTCAGGACACTCGGAAATGGCCTCTCCAACCTGGTTCCAAATATTCATATTACCATGTCTTACATTAATGGCTTAAAAAGTCCCAGAAGTGACATCAGACTGGAAGCTATGTTTCACAACGCAACTTCTGCACTAGGATGCTGCGGAAAGTTGTTGGTTTAGAAAAATCTGCGAAGTAGTCCGAGAAAATAGCCTTCGCTGCAAATTAGTTTGCTGACATTTCGAGATTACACTGTTTGCCGATTCTTGAGCAGGCGGGACGCAATGGGGACACAATTTTGTTGCACTTGGTATAATTTAAAGTACATTCCGCGAATAGTCAAGTGGAACAATTCCCTTTTTGCATGATGTATTGATATGCAAAAGCAAAACTCGTCTGGGTTTCATAGATCAAAGGTGAGAGGTTGAGGTGCTGCCATATACATTATCGCTCAAGTGACTCCGCCCTTANCTTAGCGACGTTCACGTGCTGAGGGAGGCTTGCGACTAATCGTTCTATGGTATGCTTCAACAAGTACTGGCACAGAAATTTCTATTAACCAGGAACCTGTCTGAAGTTGGCTAATTTCGGGCTGAAATAAAAGATAAAAAATCGATTCCGAAAAAAGATTGTTTCAAAAGTTTTGCCCTTCCTTGAGCTGTGTCTTTGTTTGCGAGACTTTCATTTTCCCGTAATATTTCCACATTCAATATGGAGCTGACATAGAGAATAAGAGGAGTTGGGTTCTAAGAAAAAACCCTTCATCCAACAACTGTAAAAAGGCTCAAACGCAATGTAACCCGAAATCCAATTCACACAATTAAAATCAAACCTGGATTGCCTGCTTGGTGCTTGTTCATGTCGTTCGGAATGAACAGCAGATGAGGTAGCCTCAGGAACACGATGTGTAGCTCCCATTGCCGCTGCAGCTAATGCTTGTTGGAATCCCACAGGTGGCATACCTAATGCACCAGGCAATCCAGCCATTGCAGGCATCATTGCTGCCATTTGTTGTGAATGTGCATTTGATTGCATCAACTGGCCGACTTCTTGGGTAGATATCTGAAAAACAATAAAATTCACCAGTTCTGCATATCTATTAGACTGAGCAGCACCGTTATTCAGGTGCATAATTCATACTTTCAGTTCAGACTATCCTTCCCAACTAATCGGCTCCTGGACCCCTCTTAGAATTGCTTAATTTTACCGAAGACTCGGAAAACTCCAAGAAGTCCCGGGCCCATGAGTCTTTAAACAGAAAATTCATCTGAGAGCGGAGGTGGTGCAGGGGCCAATGGCGCACTATGACATACGCATGGTCTCGGGTCGAATCCTGAAGTGATACTACTTGCCTACGCCAATAAAACTCAATTCCTTCGGGGCGCTCGATGGGTACAAGGCTTGTCTGGGAGGACAAAAGCGCTGACTCCTACATCAGCTGGCCACCCGCACCCGAACCACCTTTACGATTTTCAATGGAAATCGAAGGCGGAGACTCAACCCATCGCAGGGTCTGACCAGTGAAAGTCAACCTTACTGTTGGCATGGGCGCTTTGGTTATATAACCCACAATTTCAAACCGTTAGGGACTTCAGAAAAACGCTCCAACGCTTAACATCAGCACCAACATTTCCGCAGTCTAATACTTTGACAGTAAATGTAAAAAAGTAAATACTAAGCAGACTTCAACGCACTTGTTTAGCACGTTCCATTGCATTCATTGCTTGCTGGGCATGTTCAGGTGGTAGGAAGGGAAGAAGCTGAATTGTAAATCAAATTTTTTTTCAACCATATTTTAAGAAATCTAAATAATATCCTAGGACACCTACCTGTGTAATTATGGCAGTATACCGTTTACATAATTCACTTTGTTTCTGTATTTCGATATTCATACCACATTGAAATTCATAATATAGCATATAGTGACGTTGCATATTTTCCTTCTCTGCATTTAATTTCTCCAACTCATTCTAAAATGAAATAAATATTAAAATCAGATACAGAAAAAATTAGAAATATAAGTAGAACTAACTCTTTGTTGTTGTAGTTGGTTGTGCATGAAGGTAAACTCCTCCTTCAGCCGATCAATGTGCTCCATAAAAGAGGAGACCTTCATTGGCTGCACGCCTGACCCAGTACCTGCTGTTTTCTACTGAAATAGAAGGTAATCCTGAATCCTGTAATAATGCTACAGCAGTAAAACGATCCACGATAATAAAACTGATTGAAATGATTCAGTCCCCTACGGAAGAGACGCGAATATACATCAACAATAGGAAACTTCAAGAAGCCAAGGTGTTTTTCTCTATCTCCCTGCCCATTTAACTTTTTGTTAGAACTATTTCTCATAAAATTGTAAGTACGTACTTGGGAATACAAAGTCAATTCGGAAATGAGCAAAGAACAAACACGTTCAGTTTACCCGTTCCCACTTTCATTTCAAGCCATTAGAAAAACTGGTAATATCATTACCTTTATGGTGGAACGGATATAAAAAGACAATTAAGACTATCTTAGAAAAAACACAACACCTGATTATGAAAACATTATATTGCAAAAACTTCGAACTTAAATGGAATGAAAATTACTTCGACACGAAAAGAAAAAAAAAAGATTCCTGTCGACAAAGACAATGAGAGGACGACAAAGTGTAAAAAAATGATGAAAAAAGTCTCTAAATTTACATAAAATCCATGCATACTTGTCGTGCGGGGCTGACATTATTTAGATGGATCAAATAGTCATAGAAATGGCAGTTCTCAAAGTAATTGAGGTCTGGCTTTATTGATGAATATTTAATGACACATCGGAGAACTTCCATGCAAGTCTCTCTCGCTTTCCATTCACAATTACGTATTCTCGGAAGTCCCAAACAATTAAAAAATGCATTGTTTTGCAAATTCAGGTTCAGGCTTGGCTATGACTAGTTTTACTCAACGCTATAGCTCGCTATTCCCTGGGGATTGCTTCAGTCAAGATTATTTCTCATAACAGCTCATTCAACTGGTTTAATGCTGAGCCCCATAGGGTCGACTAGGGCTACATATTGTCCAATTTGTTGCCAGTTTTCCATGATGAAGGTTCATTGCATTGCTATAGGAAGAAACGATCGTAACTTGACGATAACTGGTGGAAGGGTCTTTGGAAGTCATCTATCAGTCTTACTTTATCACAATGGCTGAAGGTTTACGGAAAATAATATATATTATTTTGATTATTTTTTAATATTTTCATGTCATCATCGATTCCCTGGAGGAGCAATACACAACAAAACATCGCTGGACAAAATGAAAGCTCCGGAAAAGCAATCGTAATGAGGGAGGGTAAATCGCTTGCTAGAGGCACATAAAGCGTGTGTTATATTCTCACTGAGCTTAGCAAAGGATTTCAATAAGGCGCTTCGATGCCAAAATTTGCTTCAATCATAGCTTTTGGTCGAAATGGATTTTTAGATCCTCTTCAGCTACCGTAAACGGACACGATCGCGTGATGACCTGCTCAAGTGAGATGATGGATTGAAATATTAAGGATGATAAGCATTGCACGGCAACCTCAGGCTATGAATTATGAATGCTTCAGTAGGGTTCTGAATAACAGACAGCGAGTTTTAGTACTGTAGCGATTACAGAATTGGTGGCGTGCTTCACGGTTAGACATTGTGCTTACGCAGTAATCAGCAGCAAACTAATCACTGGATTAGTAGGGTGAATTAGAAGCTTACTGATAAGGAATCAGGTAACAGGAAAAACGGAAAGACCTTTGAAGCCTCTGAAAAAAATCAATCATTCGTCGCGGTTAAGCTGAATCGAATGGTCCAAATTTAGACAAACAAAACCTTTACATGTACCTATACCTACAACTCGATGCTGCATTTGCACAAATTCATTAGCTAAACGAAACAAAAACAAAAAAAAAACGAAGGAAACGTCAAAAATCAAAAACGACCAGTGCCATATGACAAAAAGCATCAACAAACTCTGGGACCCATCACTTAATGACATGACAAGAAGGAGGATTATCGATCTTCGTACTCGATCCCCATTGACAAGTACCCTTGCTGACCGATTTCTGCACTTCCTATTCCTTCGTTTTTCATTTTTTTCTTAACACCAACTAGCCAGCATTCACCAAAAATGTCTTTTATAGCACTGAGACAATCTAGTGGTGGCAGTTGCCCGATGACAGCCATCAAGTTACAAGCCAATGGATCACAAGACTAATTAGTTTTCGAAGCTTCTTGAAAAACAACTTGACAAATGACTGTTGACCGTTAAATTAGTTGTCGTAAGAAGGGAAAAGGGAAATGCATAGCAATGCTTTCCAATTAACACCTATGGCGACAAACTTACGAGTAACTCTTGAAGCTTCAAGAGAACATGAATATGAGCCCGAGGGACACTGAGAAAGGCGGAGATGAAAGCTTTATGGGAGTGATGTTATGAAAAGAAGAAAAAAAATGCTGCAACGAGCACCTAATGAATTGCAGGCCAATCTAGCACGCCATTCTGAACGCGAATGCACACAAACACTGCCTGCTGCCATCTGACGACGATGCTTCCGTCCGTCCGTCCGTCTTTCAAAATTGAATTCATGCTTATACGATTCATAATAATGCTAACGAAATGATGAAAATGTCAATGACTGCAACGTCTGCAGCATTCAACCGAACATGTACTTTTACTGAGAGTACCAGTAATTCAGAATGAAGACAAATATACCGACGAATAGGGAAAAGCTATAGAAATAATTAAAAATCAAAACCAAAAACAAACTTTTTAAGACGGATTTCTGAAGCAGTATTGACGATACAGAGGCCCTATAATGCTCGTTATCTCTAGTGTCCATCGTTAACTACTTGACGACTATGCCACACCATTGAGCAAGCGCGGATAATTGCCGCATGTGTCCCCCTGTGGGATCAGCAGCAGCACGCGGAAAGACGGATCGCAATCGATTTCGTGACACTCGCCAAGTGGACATGGAATTAGTGCGACAACAAAGATGACGAGAGAACCAATAGGCCATGAATATGCAATAAAATTCTAGGCACATATACGTTTTGGGGACTCGTTCGACAGTAGTGTGCGCTTTGATAAAACAAACATCACTTCAATTGTATTCACTGGACAAATCTTCCAAAAACTCTCAATTAGACAGTTATGGAAATCACTTTGAAGAGCATATCATAGAGAGCAGTTTACAAAGACGGTAAAAAGAAAACTCTGCGTTCTTTATACTTAAATCGGGAGAGGTTAGAAATTCATGCACTACCATAATTAAAGGACGCATCATAAATTCACAATAGAGCGCGATTACACGTCACTAAACACTTGGAATCAGCGAAAACTTTTTTTAGGATGAATTCCATATAGCCAGTTCCATGTCACTTCAACTTAGTAGTCTTACAATAGTCATAAAGTCCCTAAAATTACTTTGGGAATAAAATTTTTCCAGTAACCCCCTTTTCCTGCCTACACGGTTGCGCTTTTTGGGTTCAACAAAGTTTTTGCAGCCATCATCGTAGGAATTCTTCCGTTACTTCCAAACTTCACCGTCTAAACTCACGTATTATCATAATCGTGGGATGACCAACGATCTATGTGTTCCTAGAGCTCTAGAAAAACAATTTATGATAATATTTTGGGAGACACATGTATTGGCCACGAGTACACGCACACAAGTTTTACCCGGAAGTCATATTAATAGTAAGTTTTTTAATATCTATCTGATGAGCTGAGCTCTCTACTTGAGAATTCATAAACGCTCTTTTCACTAAAGGAACTCTGTGTACTTATGTTTTGGAACCTAAAACTCGCACGGAAACCATATTTTGACTGTGTATATGGATGTTTATGGAAGTGTCCGAATATACGTTCCTCAGTTTGTAAATATAACTTCCATAGTTCGTAAAGAAACAAGTGTTAACATGATTGCAAACATTAGCGGCGAGTAATTTTGAAAATTTTGCGAGTTAAATTCATTTTTTTGCGGATATTTGAAAAATAAAGTAGCTCGAAATAATTAGCTAAGTGAGAATGCATGTTAATTCTGTCCATGTTTACAAAGAATGGATGTGATATCAACAAAGAGGACGTGCGAATCGAGCTAAGCCTTTTGTGTTGATTGCTTCTCAATGTGCCATAATGTTTATGTAAGGATAAAACCGCAAATCCAAGTTCACGCCAGTCTTAATCAAACACTCTGTATTTGGCAACCGCTTCCCCGAGATGGCTTTAAGGGTCTCAAGAGAGTCAGCATTAGTATACTTCAAGGACTCAGAGGAAGGGTGATTCATTCATTCCAGAAGTTCTCCCTTCAAAGATATTCCCTGAACAACACACTTGCATACATTTTAGAGTTTCTTGAATCCATTTGAGGCCCTGATGACATAAAGTTGATTCCGAGATTTCCACATAGGTTGAACCTTCGGCTCCCATGTATGACACATGGGACGCTGTCAGGTTGCAAAGCGGCTTCGCAATGGAGCGAGCTGTAAGGGTTGAAGAACGATGTCCGTTCTCAAAGGTGGACGTGTTTTAACGCCATCATAGAGACAGCTTGATTTGCAATGGAGCACGCATGTTTAACTGGAACATTATTCATGATCCACGGCGCTAGAAAAGGCTATTTTCAGCATTTTGACTTTCTGTAGCCATCACCTTACGCAACCACGACTGAATCTTGTCTAAAGATAACTCTTATATCAATATCGTCATGGGGATCTCGTACAAGTCCCTATTTTCACCAATTGTACAATGTATTTCGCCTATTCAGCCACTTTCCTCAATTTCTTCGTCATCGATATACTATTCTCCATCAACATTTCGACTCTTTAGATTCAAAGGGGTATCTCGAAATAATCGTGAACTGTAGCTTTGTTTTTAGATTTCAAAGATTACAGCTCTAAAATTACCCACAGATCATTTGCCACTTGAATAAGCACGTTGGCGTTAATTATGGTTTCTAAAGACTTTTTTACATGCTGCATAATAGCAACTTCATGAAATTTCCCCCATTAGGTCGGATATCGAGATGAAATTCCTTTTAATATCGCCACAAAAAACATGTCTAAAGTTCAGAGATGGTTTAGTTTTTATTTATTTTTGCAGTAGTTAACATTGCTTGTCAACTCGAAGAATGATTACCCAACAGACGCCTTGGGAAACAATCATTGTCCCCCTAGCATGTTCAATAAAGCTTTACAAATATTATGAGCCTATCAATCAAACGCCTCCCGGGATATTCGTCGACAACAACAACGGAGTTCCCAGTAGAAAGATGTGAAAATGAATCCGATGGAATCTTTTACGAGAGAATGCTTTGGGTACACCAGAATAATGGTTAGAAAATGGCAATAATTAATGGGGACCCAATATATTTGAAGGGGTAATGTCACAAAAAAGCTAGAATGATCACAAATTAAAGAAATAGAGAGTTTCACGAAAAATCGATCGCTAAATGTGATCAATATCGAATATTCAGTGACGTCACAAAGTCGAAGGAAGAATTCTTCTTCAAAATATAAACGTTTTCAAAATGGACAGCATTACTTATAACTAGTAATCTTACCTAAGCAGAGACTCTGTAGTGATTCAGACTGAAGACATCTTCCTGACTTTGAGCTGACAAGTCCCCTACCTTTTCAGACGAGGATTTGTCATCGTGCTCAAAAACCGTAAGCCTTGGATAGAAACCAAAAATACTCGTTAAGCCACTGTCTACTGATGACAATTACACGGCTAGAATCTCTCATGTGGCCTATGATTAGCCGTCTGCTAATTGAAAAGCAAATAACAATCTTGACGACGACGGACTAGACGGGGCAGCATGGAGGGGATATACGCGTCAGATGTGCTTCTTAATGCTTAGATTATGCACGAGACATTTAGGGGAAGCTCTGGCGCACATTTGAGGATAAGTGACAGCAGGCGGCCAAAGGGAGAGCAAGCATATCGTTTGGATGAAGAGATGACGAGCTTGCGGAGGGGAATCCCTGGAGAAAGTTGACAAGTAACCGAGTTGCGGACGCAGGATTGCCAATGACAGCTTACTGATAAGACCGAGATGAGGCGATATGAGGGACATAGGACGCCCGGAAGAGGATCTTGTCAAGATGGCAGTAGTCGACAAATAGGAAATTGCTATTGAGGAGGTGTGGTGTACTCGCGCATGCATGAACACTGGGCGTGGCTATAGCCCCCCGCCGCATGTGGCCTGCTGCTGGAAGATTGAATCCGGGTGCGGGCGTCTACATCTTTCAGCTACTGCTTGCCAAGGATAAGTACCGAATTACTCCCGTGCACACACATACACACTCACATACACACACAAGCTGCTGGCATCGATTCCCGCTCTGCTCCCGCCCTTCCTCCACCCTGGTTCACTCCATTTAGATGTCAAATATTTGGCTATTCGCAGCATAACCATGTAGACACATGTGCTGCGATCTCCCACAACTCATCGCGCCATCGCGCCCACACAACGTAATAATGATACGGGTGCTCCCGAACATACACACACACGCACTGAGACACTTAACATCTCGCTCTCAATCACCGACGTAACAACGCACACTCACAGGCGGCTTTGAACTAACTATTTCCACTGGGGCTGAATCGAAGGGGAAAAAACCAACACTCGGGCACTCGATGTGTATTGTTAACAGCCATAGCTACGCGCACACTTCACGTGTAAAAGGAGAGTAGTTGGAAGGGCAGCACAGGAAGAGCACGAAGAAGAGCCAAAGTCAATAAGGATAGAGCATTGAGAGGGGTGAGTGGCGATGAGGGGACGAGCGGGGTGGGGGGAAACGACGACGATCGCAAATGCTTGTGCCTCTATTGGGTAAACAATGCAAAGCAACTTCTCCGCGCCATTGTCAAGTGAGTGGCGGCTAATGCCTGACGGTGGCGGCCCTCCTGCTGCTGCTCCTGCTGCTGTCGACACAACGGATACATAACCATTAACAATGATTGCACTTTAACTACTTATTAAAAGGATAAACGCTACTTAACGATCTCACCCGCACAGACATCCTCTAAGTACGAATTTCACCCACACACATAAATCAACCACCCACAAAAGACAAAAAACAGTCCCTACAATTCAACTATAAGGCCAACAGACCAAATCCCGTCTAGGGTAGTGGTAATCTTTCATCCTCTCGAAACCTATTACCCGGTAATAGACTTGTATGGGAACCCCAAACACCGACTATAACACCAATTCAAACCCCATGTGCCCTTAAAAGGCAAAAAAGTCCTAGCAGCCTTCCATACTGAACGAAGATCAATTAGATGGCACACTCGGAGTGACTTTAGGTGACAACACAGGCAGGTTATTTAATGATTTACCTTCTATTTTACCTTGGTAACTGGTATTAAACCGGCTCCCAACTAATAGACGGAGCGAGACTTCGATTATCGTATGACATATTGCGAGCTATTATTGTTCTAACACAAATAAATGTTCCAAATTAACTTAACAATAAACAATCGGAAAACAATAAATCTGCGGCTGTTCATGACGCCAACTCAAATACACTGAAGACATTCCCGTTTGAACTTTGTTCATTGAAATACCACAATACCGTAATATAACTCTTTATAACTATGGTAAAGAAGAAAAGTAAACAATAAGTAAAGGTGAAGACAGCGAAAATGAAATAAAGGATGAGAAAATCGCAAAACTCATGGGATTCACATTAAACGAGTCGGACCACCCACTGATCAAGCCAGTATGACTGGGTGGTCTGGCGAAATTGATCGAATTCAGTGGATGGTTGAGGATTGATTAGGTGTCTAATGTTCATATTCTCTATCTATCTCTCTCATACAGTGATCCCTAACGGTTAGTAAGGGTTAGGATGGTAGAGAACTAGCGAGAGAGAATGTCTGACAAACTGCGGATGGACACGCAGAAACAGAAGGGAGACCGCCCCACCGGCCAACAATAACAATTGAGCTGTTTTCTTTCGCCCTCCGCCGCGAGAAGGTGCCTGGGCGAGTGTGGACGGTGGCGCCGGAGACGCAGTCAGCCGTGGCGAAACAGCGTCTCGTTGTGGGAGGAGGACGACGTCCGCGTCTGGAGAGCAGGCGAGTCGAAGAGTCGCGCGACACGCTAACGCGTTCGCCGAGCCGACGACGACGATCCTTTGTTCCAGCGCTCGAAAAAACTCTCAATGTGGTAGATGGCGACCGCTGCAAGAACAGAATTGCTGAGATTGAGTTAAGTGTGCGGCCGCGCGCCCGCGCTCACACTCGCGCTCACCGCGCGCCTCATCACAAACATGCATCAAATCTCATCCGGAAATTGCGGACATGCCCCCATAGAGCGCGGCTATTCTTCAAATCCTAAGTGCTTGCCCTCTCACCGAATCTTCTCTCTGTCAAGCTAACGTTCTACTGCTGAAACTTCTACATCTCCCACAACTATTAAGTGGGAAGCGCCCGGTAAAAGGTCATGTTAAGCTGAACGTCTAAAGAAAACACGGGGATATAACCATCTGCCTCTGACGGGTATTTAGAGCGTGACGACGAGAATATGCCCCTCCGAACATATTATTATGGGCTAAGATGGAACAGTTTGCGTTGAGAAATGGCGATTTGCCGACACTTCCACAACGGGCACCTTTTTTGAGGAGGCGTTCGGTTATGTATGAGAATGGGACACTCAACTCCTACGACGTATATCGCTCCCGTTCAAGGTTCTCCCTTTGCCATATTTTAACTGTTTTGTCATAAATTGATAGAACCTTGGTCAAGATCTTCGTGTCATAAATTGGTCAGCCTTTCCCAGCGGAAAACAACTTGTCAAGCCTATTGCAGTCCCACAACCGTTAATAATAACACCCGTTTTCGCACAAATGCCAGTCATCCATTGTTTTGAAATAGGCTCTACCTTTCAAAAGCAGCACCAGCACTCCGTTATTATTCACCCCCGCCCGTTTGTGGTTGAGAAGGAAATAGATGGCCTAGCGCCTACGACGCCTAGCGAAATCGACAACTAGCCAGCACCACTAATAACATGAGTAACCCGATACTTACATGGAATTCGCATGTCCTGGAAGCTTTCAAGATCCTCGACAAGCAATGCTACCATAGCATGTGTAGGCGATTCGCCATTAACATCACCGACAGCTGTGACAGAATCCGCCAAAGTGGTGCAGCATTCCTGGTGGGACGAAGCTTCCACTACCCTGATTCGACCTCGAGTTTGCCACATTTCACACATTCTTATCGCTGGACGGGCTTCCGAACAAAGGTTCTGAAAAGGAGTTAGTGGAGAAATACTCCCTCTTGACTTAAGTGCTTACTTACCTTGTTAGCATCCAATTTTCTCAGAACAAAAGATGGTATCACTGCAATAAGTGAAGTCGAGTTGACAAGTGGGCAGACAGTTTTTAATCGTTGAATGAGGACGTCGTAGTCTAGCACTATGTAGACTGGAAGCCATTGTGAACTTAGTGCCTGAAAAAAGACATACCGTGAGTGATTTCAAGGGGGAACTTTTCAGTTCATCATGAACTTCCACTTCATTACTGCGAAATCAACTGGCCTGTTCGCGTCATGCCCTTATGGCTCAATGAGATGCCAAGTTCTAATTCATTATCTATGCTTCAATTTCGATAAGAATAGATGATATATCGTCTCTCATGCGAGCAGCTTCAACGTGCACTTTACTGCCAGTTCTTCTGCATGAAATATTCACGCAACTCATATCTCTCTCTCTTAAGCCAAGAGGGATGCGCGCACGCGCGCGATGCCACATGTATGTACCCTCATGCAGCGGTAATTACTTAGACAGCTGCACTCTTCATCCTTCAGGAGCCATTGCCTCATCAATTGCCTCACTTCACAATGGCCGCAAACACACACACACATACACACACATACACATACACACATACACACCTACTTCATACCCACATACATATCCACACACCCGTACACACACACACGTCCTCTATTAGCTTCTGTCCGAAGAGACATTTCAAATAGACGGAAGTGTGACGACCTTTCCCAAGGTGCAGACTAGTAAGCAGCACCTGATTCATACCCCAGTCGCAGTCACTCATCAAATCTGCCAGTCGGCAGACAAAGGATACGGTGGAGTGCTCATGCTTAACAAATAGGGCGTACTACGCGACGGGACGGGCTGGGCCCCGAATTAATGTCGCCTCTGACTCCTCATCGTTCGTTCGTAGGTAGACGCTTCACACACACACACACCCGCGCACTGCGAGAGACAGTGTCATCAACGCTTCGTCGACGTCGTCGTTGTCGTCGTCGCCGCCACCGCCGCCGCCGTTGCGCCGTCGTGGCCTCGCGCTCGAGCATATGCTCATATCCGCGCCGACAAAAACTGGGGACAAGGCAATCTCGTGCATGAGATATGGTGTGCGGCGATTTATGGCGTACGATATGTAGCGCTCTCGGAGAGAATGGCGTAATTGCGCGTCCGTGCGGCCTCGATTAGCGGGCGCTATGTAAATGAGGCGCGGCCTGAATCGCCTGTGCGCTGCGACATCCACTCCCCTTCGCCTCCTAACGACACCGGGCAGATTTCCTCGTTTTCTCGTCATCCTGCTTATGGCCACTTGTCTTCTAACGGACTACCGAATACGGCCGAATCCGCGCGGATTACTCTATGATACGCAGCGCTCCCAAAAACCCAGTAGGATCACTCCATATCGGAACTTTTATCAGTCCACCAAGTATGACTACAGTAACCAACCCAATTACAGCCTACACCAATATTAATAAAGTTGGAATTTCTAAAAGCCGAAAACTCGATACTGATCGGGAAGAGTTCAAAAGCGTCAATTTCACAGACCATCAGCCTTCCAAGGGCCTCCGAATAGCTGAATATGTAAGGTGATATACTAGTAATCACAACAAATGGATCAGTCCGAGTCCTGGGTACATATGTCACAGTTGGGTTTGACCCTTTACATTGATTCTTACAAACTTCCACCAAACATGTCTATGGAAGCAGTTTAATGTATGTATGGAATGCAAATAAAAATGAAAGTGAATGAGTCATAGAAACATATGCAATGTGTTAAAAACACAACAAAGGACTCGCTGATGATTAAACGCCTCTCTAGGACACGCCAAGCATTTGACATTCACTGAAAATTCTAAACCGTTTTTGAATGGGTGCTTAGCCCATACAATGAGTTGTAGGAGCGAAGTAATGTTTTGCCTTCCAGAAAAAGGACACGGCAACTTTATCGGCTTCAGATGGATGACTTGATTGTGCTTACCGGGATCCCACTCAAATTATGCCTGTGCTAAGGTATGGTACGGTACGATGGTAAATGGGCTTCCTATACTATTCCTTGGGTATTCGATTTATGTATGTGTCGATGGATAACCTGAAAGGGAAGAAAGATGAACTGATCTTCATGGAAAGGACCCTGTCTTATGAAGGCACCCTTGGCGAGGAAGGGAAAGTAAAACATGGAGCCGGAAAAGGCTCTCACAATCATACTCGGTAGTAGCCACTGTTGGGGTAATATTGGCTAAGAGGACCCATGAAGCATCTGCTCAAGAACCGACCTAATCGAATCCGCAACCGTATTAGGCGGCTAATTGAACAAGTGGCCCAAACAAAACATTGCTCATGACAAAGTTAGTTAGCTCAGGGCCATGTGTGGGCATCGTACTCGTGGGCTTGATCGACTCAAGTACCCACAGTCTGGTAGAGGAGCTAGCAAGTTTCTAGATACCCCATAATGGTTGGATTAAATCTCGTGAAGCTCGACAGGCCCATCAATAGAGAGGAGCCTAGATTTATGAGGTCCATTAATGGATTACAAGGAGGTCATTGGGACCACAACATTCGAAGGAGGAACTATAAACCACATGAGAACTGGCTGGGAGGTACAAAGTGAATCAGAAAGTCAGGAGAGGGAACAAAATGGAACAGCGAGGGCCTTTCAATTTTCACTGGCCCATTAAAAATTGGAACAACCCTTTGATTGGAAACCACCCACATAACGTTCCATCATGAACAAATTCCAAACTAAGGTGGTCGGAATTTTCCCTACCCTTTTCGCGCTGATAAAACCGGGCTGTTTTGAGAATCCCAGGAGGCACTGAAATTTTAACGATTTCACATTTCTTACCCCCTAAAAAAACTACTTAAGACGCCCGTTTTCAGACGAATCATCTCACTTGAGTGGAAACGACCGCTTGTAAAGTAATGTTAATTGCTTGTTCTCCTCTCCTTACGATTGAGGACGTAACAAAACACAAAGGTCACACTAACGCGCGCTGCCTCATTAGGTTTGTCTCCATCTGCGGCCTACGTACGGGGAGGGGGAGACATGGACGCTACAACATAAGAAATCCCCACGCACAGCATCCGTTCATCGACGACGAAATAGAGCCATTTCGCTCATAGTTGCACTCTTCCATTATGGATTGGCTCTTTCGTTTAAAGAAGCCCGGAAAAACTAGTGAAACGATGATTGAGCCTAAATTGCTCGTTGCCCACCTCTCTTCGAACGTTTTCCGTGTGAAGCTGTGCCATTTTCCGCTGCAATTCAACCGTTTCCGATGATGGGCCTCTTCGCCGGAAATAGCCAGCGTATTCAATCGGTGCTGTTTCAACTGCACATAATTTAAAGGCCCAATGAGCTGTCTGTCGAATAGCTCGGTTGTCACTAAATCGATTTGAAAAACTCAGAGCTTAGAAATTAAAAAATCGATAGGGTGTTCATATCATTAAGATATCGAATTTCATTCTCAGAGTGCACTAAGATGCCAAACATAAAACGCCACTCACTCGTGCACGCTTGCACCATAAAGCAGCCAATGAATATCCTCATCCACATCGTCCACCGTACGTAGGGCTTTTGCCAAACGATTAAGCTGATGAATGAGTTTGTCAATCAGCGAATGGAAGGCCTTAATGGATATCGCTCAATTACCATACACATAAAGAATAAGAATGAAAAATTCAGGTAGTATATTAGCAAGAATTATTATCTAACTAGAAGAGAGCGTTTTTATCGATACAACGAGCCCGAAAGTTATCACGGTCCATTACCAATCCATCTACCATCCCACACAACATAGGGACAAGTAACCGAACCTGACCGATAGAAGGTCTCGTACACCCACATAACACTCTGCCTAGACGATTGGCAACCAGTGTCTCTCTTCTCTTGCCACTTCACCGGCTGAGAGAGTACAGATTAACTACCTCATAAAAGGATTTCGACGCCAACAGGCCTTTGGATGCGCCACACACTTGACTTTATGTGAAAACGGTAGCGGCGTCCTACATCTACGCAACACTCACTCGTCTAATGAATGGTAACCAGCGCCTCTATCCACAGAAGCAGTGGGAAGAGCACTTATCTATTTCTCCTATGATGTCAAAGAAGCAAGATTTCAGTGTCTCCTGGATGCGTGCCTTCTGGATGCGCCACATACTCGACTCTCAACCAAAACGTAGTGGGAGGCGACGTTGCAATACGATAGCCTCATCAGTGACTTGCGGGACTGCGCGATGAATAAGCCATAAGTTCCCTCCTCCTTAACGAGTCTGGTATCCGATGACCGTGCCCGGAAGGATGTAAGGCCGGTCAGCCCCGGGAATATTGACCCGGAATGTGATCCTCGCATCATAGGTGCGGAGCGACGCAACCTGGCACTACTCCATCTACATTTCTCTACTGTAGCCCAGTAGAATTATACGCATCCAATCAAGAACTATACGGGTTGACTAAGATTAAGTCCATTACTTCAGAAGCATAAGGTGAAGCATATGGTGGAGCTATTGAATTTACCTAATCCCAGACCCCACGACTCATTTTATCAACTGGCCCATTTTGAATCCATTGTATAACGACTTCATGGAAATCGAGTGGTCACGAACAGCCTGAACATAACATTGCATCAAAGCGCGATCCTCTTGCGCTTCACTTGGCAGCGGAATAGGAACAATGACCATAGGTGTCTCTCTTCATTAAGAATGGACTAATCGGATTCCATGCTCATCAGGTAGGCTTGCAAACATCATGAGTATGCTTGTGTCTCAGTTCCTAGTATCCATGATATTGAGGCTGCTTTGCCAATGTACGGAGGGCATAGGAGAGAGTTAATGTAGTGCAAGTGGTGCACACTATAACACACATGTTCCGCGGCTCAAATCCCGGATTGATACCCGTTTCACCCTTCCCTTCCAACTCGAGCCTTTCATCCCTACAGGGTCGTTTCATTGGGACCAGACTCTTCTGGCAAAATAAAAGCGCTGGCTCGTCCATTGACTGAACATTCAGAAAACTCCACTACGATTCCGAATGGGAGTCGGATGCAAGGCGTATCCAAAAAGAGCCGCAGACTAACTGAAAACTTTAGACTTTACCCTTTATCAAAAACATCTTTCTCCAACCAAAAGCGGGGCCCATGGAATGCCATACGACCCTAGTCAACAGGGGATCTATACCTCTGAAGCAGACCGAAATGGGACTCACTGCAAAGTTGAATTTCGCAATTTTTTGAGGTTCTTAAAGGCTTGAATGGCACCAGGAAGCCCAATGATCACCAAGAATTTCACGCAAATGAACAGCTCAAGAATGAAAGGAAATGGAGCTGTTAATTCACATTCAGTATTCATGAGAAGAGGTTCCTCGAAGCTAATGGTGCTTCAGTGGTCTGTCGGTAGGAAGAGATATTGCTTGAATTATTATTTGATGAGATCAAGAAATATATAAGTGGGTAGGACGGCTTTAGCCAATTTGATTCTTTTTCGGAGAACTCAACAGGGACATCTCCTCCGCGGAACACACTTCAATTTGGCGTTAACGGGGTCGGAATTACGCCCCATTAGGTCCCAGAATCAATCAGACAACACCTCATCCTTGAGAGATCGTTGTGTTTATATCCGATTCGGCAAGGGCAACTAAGAAACGCAGGATTCCTCACATCTCTGGCCCTCGCAAGCTGTTACATAGATCAAGCAGAAATAAGGATGTGTCGCTATAAGTCTGAACAAGAATCATCCCTGTATGGAACACCCTCCAAACCGGTACCGATAGGCTCTGCCATTCACCCTCATACTGCTTCACGCTCAGTCGTTATCAGCAATGTCTACTACTTATCTCTCCAGCATATATCTATCTACAGTTCTGAGCGACATTCTTTTTGGTTTCTTTGCTCCTTTTGTCTCTCCCCTTTTACTATTTCTCTTTATCGCTCGTCCATTTTTCCTTTCCATTTATATCAGAATTTTTACTATAAACCCCTTTGCTCTTATCAAGGGGACGGAGGTTCCTTCTGTTGCAACTCTCTCTTAGTTCCTCTTCTCTGTAGTTCCTCTGAGTGCGCCGCCTCAGTACTCTACCTCCTACAACTCCCTGTGAAGTTCTCTTTTCATCGCGAACTTCATTTATTTCATTTTTCCCCTAATTTTTGCTTATTTCACTATTAATTCATTTATGGGCAGCAGACTGCTTCAAAGTGTGACTCGCCCCACGAAAAACTACCTAATACCCAACTTGACAAGTCCCCTATTCCGTTGAATGCTCGAGAAAGGACATGTTGCCTTAGAAGATGACTAATTGACGTACATATCGGTTACTCGAACAAGTTATTGCATACATCAAGTACGTATCCGAAGTCTCCCGCGGATCTTGACATCAGGCAAACAAAGAGTTATCAAAGGAAAGCTTACCGAACCACCTAATTCAACATTTTTTTTT